AAAAATATGACTCTATAGGCTCAGGGGTTTCTTTGTTTCATTTCTTATTTTTACAGGAAGCAGAAGCTAGTCAATACCTTTCCAAGTATAAGAAGCAGCAACACGAGTTGAATGAAGCCAAGGAAAGAGCAGAGGCAGCCGAGTGTCAAGTCAACAGACTCAAGATGAAGGCGCGAGTTTGGGGAAAAGGCGCGGCAGGTACTCCGTTCCGCTGTGACGTTAAAGCACTGGTGTGTCAGGCTCACGTCATCACATGGAACTTTGTTTCTTCAGAGGCTTTTAAAAACAACATTGAAAAAGAGTTTCTGATAAAACCTCCCCATGTTTATTAATTCTGCTTGTCTGGGTAGGAAGAGACAGTCACATTTGAGGGGGCTGCTGTATTACACTGTATCACACTTCTCCATTGCTTAATTCTAGGTTGATGTGCAGGCTCTGAGCTCCCAGGCCTACATTCATGTGGGTAGGACAGTCAGGTGTCCAAGGAGAAAAGCTGATTAAAGAAGCACAGACGGATCTGCTTGAAATTCTAAGCAAACTCTTCTATCTATGGCGGGCAAGCATCACATCGATATGGAGATCCCAGGGGGACAGGTTTAAAGTGGAGGCCATGAAGAACCAATGCAAGAGTCTTGCTTTCTGGTTTTCTTCCCTAAAACAGAGAAAGGAACTGTCTACATCTGTGTCCATGAAAGTTCTGTTCCAGTATTAGGGGCCACTGCTCTGATTTTCCTGGGAAACTGACACAGAACATTGGAGCTCTAGGCTTGGCAGGGCCAGTACCTTAGTCTGTTCAGAGATGTCACACCAGAGATGGAGTGGCTTAAAAACTGCAGACACTTCTCACAGGTCTGAAGGCCATGAAGTCCAGGGTCATGGCGCTGGCAGATTTGGAATCGGGTGACAGCTACTTCGTTGTAGACAACCCTCTCCCCGTTGTAACCTCACGTGGTAGAAAGAAGGGAAGACGCACTCTGGGGTCTTTTTTTCATAAGGATGTTACTCCCGGGCATGCAGACACAACCTCATGACCTAATTCCTTCACAAAGGCCCTGGCTCCTAAAACCATCACTGTTCGGGTTAGGAATTCAACATGTGAATTTTGCAGGGGGACAAAAACAGTCATACTACGGCAGCGAGCTCAGCTTCCTCACTGTTAGCAGAAATGGTTGTTCAATGAGATCTGGCTTTAGGAGAATCAAATTCAAGGAGGTTGTATACACTCTATAGAATGCCTACAGAGCCCTTAGCACAGGCACCACCATTTCAGTTTTTAAAACGAATTACTAGTAAACTTCCAAAAAAAGAGGAGAGAGGGTAACAAATAGTAAACACTACCTTACGGGAGGTCAAAGGATCTCTTTTGAAGAAGGGACTAAAAGTTGGTCGTTTTGAATATATTTGGATTCAAATGTGAAAAATTTGAGACTTTGACAGGCTCTAGAAATTTCTTATTGATGAGCAGATAGTCTCGGGGAGAAGGCCGGTGTTGAGAGGTCCAGCTAAGTGGTCTGAACTCTGGCCTCAGTCTGCAGTGCTCCGGCCTGGGATCGGGGTCTCCTGTGCAGAAGCGGCCCAGCAGCCCCTGTGATGGTTTGTTTAGGGAAATGCCCTGCACCTGCTGCAATCGCACGCAGCTGCACGAGGTCGGAGGGCCTCGGAAACAGATGTAATGCTTTCGACTTTGTCACAGTTATTTCCAACAAAGAATAAAATGAGTGAAGCAGAAATTGCTTCTGAGAGGCCAGAGATGAATAGGAAAATCGTCCTTGGCAATGCAATGACTAATTGTTTTCCATTCACAGGAGGAGAGCCTGAACATCTCTCTCCTGTCATAAACCAAAGGAAAAGGTTTTCTGATAGAATCGTGTGTCAGGTCTGGGGAGTGGATTGGTGATGCATGTCATCTTGCTGTTCTGGGGTCGTCTCCAGAGGGTGCTGCCTTTACTGGCAGTGCAAGGCGGGCAGAAAATTGAGTGACCAAGCACGCCCTTGCGGTGAATTACTGGGGTCTGCTTTCTCTCATGCAGATAATTGCCTCAATTCCCTTCCTCCCTTTGAAGCTAATGAAGAGTTGGCTAAGGCCTGCTTATGACAGGAGAGCACTGGGCTTCGTTCGGCGTGGATGTCCCGCTGATGAAAGTCACAGGAATCTCACAGAACATGCTGATCTTCTATTTTTCAGGTCCATGAAGAATGATCAGTCCTCGTTTATAAAGGACAGAGGCTGGAGAAGTACAAGGAGGTACTATTTTCTGACCAGAAACTGAAGCCACATTTGAAATATACACCTTTAGATTGATGTATAGTTGCTTTACAATGGTATATTAGCTTCAAGTGTGATAACATAGTGCTTCCATATTTGTAGATTATACTCCAGTTAAAATGACCATAAAATACTGGTTATATTCTCTGTGGTGCACATTGCATTCTTGTGTCTTATTTATTTGTACCTGGTGGTTTGCACCTTCTAATCCTCTTTCCCTCCCCGGTACCCCTTCTCCCTACTGGTAACCACTAGTTTGTTCTTGTATTTAAAAGTCTCTGTTTTGATATATCCACTCATTTGGGAAACACTTTTAAAAATATGCTGCATCAAAAGTAGTTTAAAAAAGGTGATCAGGAAAGATGATAATAAAAGAGAACAGCATAAAAAAGGTGATCAGGAAAGATGATAATAAAAAGGGAATATTGTTGCTTTCAAGTGTAGTGGGGAATTTTTTGATCCTCAGATGCAAGTAAACATTTCCCATGAAAGATCAGATTACAAGAATCTTTTAAATTTTGATGTTAAAAAATACTTTGTCCATATTGCATCTTAATGAGTAATACTCCTAGAAGACATGAGCTATGTTTTGGTCCCTGGGAGTTACATCCATGGGTCTGTTTTTAGCCACTGATGGTGGGGGACAGCAGGCTCGTCTCCGTGTTCTACAGCCATTTACCTGTAGTCATGGCTCGGCACTTTCTGTCGGGAAAACCCTGCTGACACCCGTGTGGGCCCCACGCTGGCGCGGCAGTGAAGCACCCTCCCGCACGAGATGCTCAGGTCAGTGATAACTGGTACGCTGTGTCGTACCAACGTGGCTGAGCTGGGGGTACGTTTCCTAGGATTCCCTTCTCTGCATGGTTCTGGATTACAGTTGGTCACAAAAGAAAAATGCACCCGATTCGAGAGGCAGAAGTGAGGGAGCAGCGGCTTTGTTTTTATGCTCATAAACTCAGGGTATGGTCCCAGGCACAGCGATAGCTGGCAGATACTTCTCAAGGCTGAAAGGGTGAGCTCGCTGGGACGGGCCCCAGCTCCTGCCAGAGCCCTCACCAGGCAGGCCTGTGGCTCCACGGCAGCAGGCGCTGGCCTGTCTTACAGGTCACTCCCAGCATAGTCTAGAGGCCCCAAGAGACAGAGTGGGATCCAGTTTGTTCTTATACATTCCAGTTCATCCTCACTCCGTGTCCAGCTCTCCTTCCTGATGCTGGCACATCTGACCAACAGCGACCTCAGGGACAGCACTGGATGTGGAGGGGGCTCCCTGGCGCAGACGTCTTCACCACTGCCCGTGGTTGGACAATGTTGAATGTCTCTCACAAATCCTTGTTCTCTCCTTCTCAGCAGTCTGCCTCTGCAATCCAACCTGACTCTAAGATTAAGCTCAGCAGTGTTGAAAGACCTAGGGTCCTTCTTATCTGCCATCCTCCATGTGTTGGCTTTGGTCTTTAAATTGGTCACCCTCATCACAGTAAGATTAGAACTGTGCTGAGCATGTTCTCCTCACTGAGTGCCCTAAGTCCTTTTCTAAGGATTTTCTTTATATCCTTAGTACTCTACAGTTTGTGATGAACACTGGTCACGACAGTGTAGCAAATATGTGAGGTCAACAAAACTCTGCAAAATAGGAGACTGTGAAATAAGTCCAGCTGATAAAGAACACTGGACCAGGCGGCATTAATACACAATCGGGGTTGGTTTTCTCCCATAAAGTGAAAGTGAAGTTGCTCAGTCATGTCCGACTCTTTGGGACCCCATGGACTGTAGCCCACCAGGCTCCTCCGTCCATGGGGATTCTCCAGGCAGGAGCACTGGAGTGGGTTCCCATTTCTTTCTCCAGGGGATCTTCCCGACCCAGGGATCGAACCCAGGTCTCCTGCATTGCAGACAGACGCTTAAACCTCTGAGCCTCCAGGAAGCCCAAAGTGAAAGTTGCTCAGTCCTGTCTGACTGTTTGTGATCCCGCGGACTATACAGTCCATGGAATTCTCCAGGCCAGAACACTGGAGTGGGTAGCCTTTCCCTTCTCCAGGGGATCTTCCCAACCCAGGGATCAAACCCAGGTCTCCCGCATTGCAGGCAGATTCTTTACCAGCTGAGCCAGCAGGGAAGAAAATTTGATTGTCATAAAAGTCCTAGTTAGGCTTCCTTTTTTACACATTGATAATAAAATTAAGGAGAACAGATCATCCAATCAACTGAGGTATTCATTCTGTCCTTGCATAAATATGTATATGAAAATTTAAGTTTATTAGAAATCTGATTAATAATATGACAACTGAGCCAAAGATTAAATTATCTTAATAACCGGGGTCACTCAGCTATGAAACCCTGGTGTTGGATAGTACAACCCAACCCCAGGGTTGTCAATTCTTGCGTTGATAGGGCCTTTTGCACCTTGGATTGTCTTAGAGACACTGACATTCTTACTCTTTGGGGTCCCTAAGATTCACCATACTAAATCTAGTAGATTAGGCTGATATTAACTGTTCATATAAAACTAGAGTACAATACTTTAGCATATCAATTGCTTTGTTTTCTTTGCCCTGGTTTTTTACCTTTTCACTAAGATGATTTTTGCTTCTACCACTCACCCATCATTAGTTGATCAGATTTTGAATCATCTCTTGGTGATTTGTTTCTTCTGAGTTCTTGGCGGAAACTTCACTGTGACCTCCTGGGCTGGTTGCAGCAGGAATGTAAATAAATGAGAGAGTTCTTTAACCCAAGCTGAATTGGAATCCCTGGTATCCAGGCATTTATAATCTTGATGCAGGTGGGGGGCCCCAAGAACGACTCTTAGTCTCTGAAGCGAGAATGTGACTCTTCTCTCTCCAGTATCACCGGCTTTTGCAATGGTAGAATTGTCAGGTCGCGACAAACCACTGCTGGAATCACAGTGAAGAAAGGGGAGGTGGGCTCATAGGACATCACGGGGGGCTGTGTTGTGTTGTGAACTTCTGTCTTCACTTCATGTATTGGGTGGATGTTCTGAAAGAGGCTAGAACCAAGAAACATGGACTCAAAATAGTTGTTGTTTATGTCAGAATAACCATTTTAATATTAATGGTGGTGGTGTTTTGGTTTTTTGGAGGGGGGGAACTTTAAGCTACTGTTTGCATCTGTAATCAGAGATCCATGAGACAGTTATAAGTAGTTATGAAGCTGGATCTTATCAATTTTAATTTCCCTGTTAGATGTTCCTGAGATTTTAACAAGTAGAAAAACAAGTTTATCCCACTCTTTGCTGTTATGTATCATGATGAATGGAAGTCATAAATAATAAAAGGTGTGCAGCAAAAAAGTATACAAGCAAGCTATAATTCATAAGTGAATTATCAGTTCTGAAGGAACCTAGAAGTGTCTGGAAAAGTGTAGAAGGTCAGTAGTCTGAGTCTGGGCAGAAACTGTAGTCTGCTTTTCTCTACTTTATCTGTATTTCCTTCCACTTCTGTGCAAGGCCCTGTTTCATCAGAAGAGTAGGTACATTGGTGCACGGTGCCATTTGAGATCTTTGCAAGTAACAGTTGGAAATGAGAAGAGCAAGCACTTATTTACACCACTAGAGCCTGTTTAATCATAGACAGTGGAAGCTTAAGTGTATTTTTTTCCTGTTCTATTATCCTGCAATCCCTCCTACCTTTTTTCTCTGTAAAAGTCCTACAAGATAATGTGTGAATCAGTCAAAAGTTCAGCTAGCTTTTTACCATAGCATTCTTATAAATAGTTTGATAAAGGAAATGCCTTACCACGTTTTCTTCTGAAGTACCGGCACTGCTAGAGTTCAGATTAGCAGGTGGATGCCTTTCTACAGGAAAAAAACCAGAACTTAAAAAGACATCTCTTTGCCAACACCCCAATTCTCCCTTATTCCCACCTCAGTGACAACAAATAGTGGCTCAGTCATGTCCACCTCTTTGTGACCCCATGGGCTGTAGCCCGCCAGGCTCCTCTGTCCATGGAATTCCTCAGGCAAGAACACTGGAGTGGGTTGCCATTCCCTTCTCCAGGGGATCTTCCCGACCCAGGGATCGAACCCAGGTCTCCTCGATTGCAGGCAGATTCTTTACCATCTGAGTCCCCAGGGATGCCCCGCCTCAGTGTGATTATGTTATTAGCATCACACTAGTTACTCCCCTCTTGGTATCTTTTTCCAACAAACAGCATCAAAAATGTCCTTAATGTAGAAATACTTCATCAGAAACACACAGCAGTAAATTCAGGTGCTCCTACGCAGGGAGAAAGGCAGTTAAGCAAGCCAGCAGCTCCTGGCTCTCTAAGATGGTTGGCCTGATGCCTACTGACTATAAACCATGGGGAAGAGCCAAGGTGGTGATGGACAGGAAAGGGCCATAACGTCCCTTCCCACGGAAGGCTTCAGACCACAAGCTACAGAACACTCTGCTTATTTTTCTAAGTGGCCAACACCCTAATGTGGTTTTTGCTGACATCTGACTGCTCCTCCAGAACTGGAATCCGTCCTGCGCTCTGCCATGGGATGCTGACCCGGATGGGTTCTACCTGCACGGCTTCTCTTCCCTCCGCTTTCATCTGGTGTGGAGATCGGAGGGCAGGAGGGGCAAAATCAGGTGTTCCTTCTCCCAGCTCCTTCTGCGTCTGGCTGTGTGCTCTGTGTGAAGGCCGCCTTCCTCGCCACACAGCTGGCCCCTGACTCTCTCCTTCCAGGTTCTGGGCACTGCTCCTTCTCCTCGCCCCTTTAGATTGCGGGCTTCCGGCCAAGCTCCGAGGGGCGCAGTCTCCTCTCTGCTCCCCTTCTCCAGTGTTGAGTCTGCCGGGTGCTCTGTGTTGGAAGTGCACTGGTGCACCCTTCCCCTACAGAGACTAAAGCATCATTCCTACACGTTCTCTGCTAGAACGTGAACCTAACCTCAAGTACCGTGATATCAGGGTTTGCACGCGGAAGACAAACTAGACTACCTGAAACCTCCCACTTCTCCCTGCCTCTGGCAGCTGCAGGACAGGAGTATCACGGGCACCGGCCTGCTTGTTCATACGGAGAGTCACAGGCCTGCAACCGCTGAGACCCCGCTCACTGCCCCCCGAGAGTAACCTTCAATAAGGCGTCCACAGTGACCAAACGACCCTGACTTCAGCAGGCGCAATAGGCTAATATCAATCAGAAGAAGTGACGCTCAATCCGTCTCAGCCTCCCAGGACACTCAGAGCTTTCTTAGAGAGATGATGAAATCAGCAGAGCTTCATGGGGCCGAGATCTACCTCTGCCACTAGTTAGCTGGGTCATCTAAGGTGGTGCCTGTAAGTCTGTTTCAGATGCCTATTTAGCATTTGCGTTAACTTTTTTGATTCTAATTTCCTGACCTGTAAAATGTGGAAATAAGTAAATCTAAGTTTTTCACAGATCTAAATTTGTTGATAAAAGCAAAGTCTTTTAAGAAGTCCTGTGATTGACTGTGGAATCTTAGTATCATATTGAATTACTATAAGTAATTAAATTACTCTAAGTAACACTTTTCTAGCAGAAAATTTAGAAAAAGTTTTTTTTTTTTTAAACTTCGCACGGATTAAAATAAAATGGCCCATCAAGGACAATGCTGTTTTGAGCAGTAGCAACTATTAATAAGGGCTTCTCTGATGGCTCAGCTGGTAAAGAATCTGCCTGCAGTGTGGGAGATCTGGGTTCAGTCTCTGGGTTGGGAAGACCTCCTGGAGACAGGAGCGGCTGCCCACTGCAGTATTCTGGCCTGGAGAGTTCCATGGACTTGCTAGTCATCTTGGATACACTGCCACCTGACCCCCCAAGCATGGGACCAAAGCCTCCATGAGATGGTACCTCTGTGGGAACCGATGCATCTTCTTGATCTAACAGCTCGAGTGCCCACCGACAGTAACAAAACTGCCAATACCACGGCCACCAAAACTGGGACAATCATCCCAGCAGTTCCTCTTTGGCTTGCTTCGAAATAAGACAAACAGAACGTCTATGAGCTGGAAGAAAAGTTACCAGACAACAAAAGAAAATGCATAGCTGGGTGAGTATGTTTATTCAAAGTAGCTATTTCTGCATTTTGCATGGGAAGCAGATATCATATTAGTGAATAGACTTTTCCTAATGAAAAGACCCATTAAAGATACAAACAACAGCCCTGTCTGGATCAGTGTTTTTCATGAGCATAAATAATACTTCCCAGTTCCCAGGTGGTGCAAGTAGTAAAGAATTCTTCTGCCAAGGCAGGAGACATAAAAGATGCATGTTCAATCCTTGGGTCAAGAAGATCCCTTGGAGGAGGGCATGGCAACCCACTCCAGTATTCTTGCCTGGAGAATCCCACGGACAGAGGAGCCTGGCGGGCTACAGTCCATGGGGTCGCAAAGAGCTGGACATGACTGAATAACTCAGCACATCACCACATCTAATATATCTGTTGGGGGAACCTGTCAAAGCTGATATTAAACAATTTGGGGCATAGTGGGGATGGGAGTCAAGAGAGGAAAAAGTCTGGAAACTTGAGGGGCAATGAGTTTTTTATGCACTTTAAGCCTTTGTTTTATATTGTAATAAGAGAATTAACATACTTTTGTGTGTGTGCGCTCAGTCGTCAGATCAGTTAGTGTCTGACTCTTTTGTGAGCCCATGGACTATAGCCTGCTAGGCTCCTCTGTCCAAGGGAGTCTCCAAGCGAGAATACTAGAAGGGCTGCCATGCCCTTTCACAAAGGAATAATTATGACTACAAACTAACCGCAGCCCAGGGTCTTCCTTGGGGGATGAAGGTAGGGCACAGTGTACCCTTGGCTTGGAAAAGGCAGGAGCCTAGAGGAAGAGTAAGAGGTGCAGAGATGAAGAGAGGAGCCGAGTAGGAGCCGTGATCTTGAGTAAAAAGCGACAGACAGCCAAGATCACGAATGGTGCTTGGCGTTCCTCAGAAATTACTGGAGGAGCCTGAACTCTTTTCAGCCTCTTGACTGGAACTAGAATTGTTATAATTTGCATTAAAGGGCGTAACATTCAAAACTAGAGCGCCAAGAACATTTATAAAACGTACGTTCCACTGGCTCATTTTGATAAATAGAGAGGTGCCACGGCCTCCCATGATGTCCGCTGCTGAAGCACAGGGTGATCAGCCCCCCAGACAGTCAGCTTCTGAGTACGCGTTCCTTGACTCTACGGATACTGAACTAGAAATAGTTTAAACAATGGGTTGTGGCAATTAGCTACCACTGGAGGTAAGAAAGGAGCCCAATCAGGCACAATCTTGATGTCGCAAATGTCCTCTGATGACTGTTTTCACCAGGATTACAGACCATGCTTCAATAGCCTGCAGCAAAAGCTTCAGTTCTAACCTCTCACCACGCCTGCACAGCCTTCTCTCCCCAAACCCAGACCCTAAGGCACATATCAGCACAATGGGAAGCAGGAATTGAAGATGCTCAGCCCACAGAGTAACAAAACATAGAGGTTCCACCTTCATTTCTGAAGCTCTGAAACCGTAAAAGGGAAATCTTCTGGGAGTAATTTCCTTTTATTTCTCAGTGCAAGGCTTTCGTGTGGTTGAAGGAAGGAAATTGTCTACCATTTTAACTGGAAGTATCCCTGTAAACAGTATTTTCAGAAATTTTTTTATTCAAAGGTATTCTTGAAATGCCAACCTAATTTCCTATTTGATGTTCACAATGTCTGCTGCTGTACCTGAAACCCATTGTCCAACCCTACTTGTAACTTACCTACATGCAGTGTTTGCATGGTGAGTAAGGTACTTTCGTTTGATGTAATATTGCACAAATACTCCCCGCTGTCTGAAAGACGAAGATCCTTCAGAGTTAAAGAGAAGTCACGTGAGTTTATCAGCTCTTCTTTCCATGAAATCTGAGGTTGACTGATAAGTGTTCCTTGTGAGGAGTTCTTAAAGCAAGCCAGGAGCAAGGAACTCCCATTTTTCACTCTGGACCAAGTGACTGTGAAGTCTTGATTTGGTGGGGAAAAATTGTTTTCAGGTTTACATGAGAGTAAAACGTTTTCACTTTCCATTTTATGAAGAACATCTAACAACAGGATAGAAAAGTAGAGATAAATGAAAAATTTTTCAAATGAATTTTCTAAGTTATACTTAGAAATATCTTTGAAAACACTTTTGGGAAAGCAGTGAGATATCTGTGCTGTGGAGTTTCTTAAAAGCTTTACACCACTATTTTAAAGTCACCCACCAAGGTTACGTTTAGGCTTCAAGGAGGCCCAAGCCTGGGCCAGCCAGGGAGATGACACACCTGGTCTTCAACTCCTACAGCCTGAGCGTGACCACTCGAGGGCCGCTACCAGTCACGGGCACGTTTAACTCCGCAATCTTCCGCTGAGCTCTCGAATGCTGGCGTTACCCAGGCTGCCTCCTCGTCACCAAGTACTACCGGTAGTCTCTGCTGCTTCCACGGTCTCAACCACGTCGTCATCTCTCTTTCTGGACAAAGTCTTTTTTCTAGCACATGAGTGTATTTCTAACCCTGTGCAGGAATTCCCCACTGGACTGATCTTTTAGAGCAGGGAGTCTGCCGGGTATTCCCGGCTTCCCCTCCAGAGTTCGCACCACGTTGTCCTTCCTGTCCTGCCAGCTGACTGCTATGGACCGCCGTGAATTATCCTGCCTGGTTTTCGACTCACCTACTCTGCATTCCACCTGCGAGAGTGGTGCCAAAGCAAGCGATCTAAAACACAACAATCCACCTGTGAATGAGGGATACCAGAGAAGCCATCAAAAATAGAACTTCCAGTCTCTCCGATGCTTCATAGCCTTCTTTGGCTCTGTACTACCTCCAGGCCAGCCCAAGCTCCTTAGCAAGATGAAGGCATTTGATCTTGGTTTTTGCCTTCCTCTCTAGGCTTAAAGCTTGATACTTCAGTTTCACTCCCAACCACTTATACTTCCACAAATTCAGGCAATACTTACCCCTGTCTCTGCTTTTGCATATAGTATGTTTTTTACCTGGAATGCCTATGTTCTCCTGAAATTTCCTACTACTCCTTTAAAATTCGGTCTGTATGCAACTCCTTAAGCATATATTCTGAAACAACCTGATCCATACCCAACTGTCGCAAACAGATTTAATCACTCTCTTTGTATGCTACTTTCCTGGTTTAGTTTTAATTTTACACGTTTGTACTAGATGCTGTGGATCCATAAGTGAGTAAGAGTCCACAGCATCTAGTATACATCTAGTTCTGAGGTTCACAGGTTGAGTGACAAACTTTGGCACATAACAGATCCTCAACAAGACAAAATAGCACTAAGCCTAAGGAACCATTGGAACTTCAGGATACTCAATTCTGAATAAACAAGAGGAATTATGATTCTCCATATAAAATAGTTGCAATTTAATATTTTCAACCCTTTCCCACGTTTCCATTGCTACTTGGCTGATGAACAGTGAACATTAGATGCCCATACTATTGACATCATATAAGGATAATGAATAACTTTCCCAAATAAGATATACATATGACCAGTAGGCACATGAAAAGTTCAACATCACTAATCATCAGGGAAATGAAAATCAATGCAACTACAACGAGCTATCACCCCACACCTGTCAGAATCACTATTATCAAAAAACAAACAAACAACAAGTTTGGGTTAGATGTGGAGAAAAGGGAACCCTTGTGCATCTTTTGGCCCCAGGTAAATAGCAGGGAGGGAACACAGCTCCATCCATGAACAAAAAATTGAATTAAAGATTTACTGAGCATGGCCCCACCCATCAGAACAAAACCCAGCTTCCCCCTCAGTCAGTCTCTCCCATCAGGAAGCTTCCATAAGCCTCTTATCCTTCTCCATCAGAAGCAGAGAGACTGAAAAACGCAAGCACAGAAAACTAACCAATCTAATTACATGGACCACAGCCTTGTCTAACTCAGTGGAATATGAGCCATGTCATGTAGGGCCACCCAAGATGGACGGGTCATGGTGGAGAGTTCGGACAGAATGTGGCCCACTGGAGAAGGGAATGGCAAATCACTTCAGTATTCTCGCCTTGAGAACCCCATTAACAGTATGAAAAGGCAAAAAGATAAGACACTGAAAGAGGAACTCCCCAGGTCGCTAGGTGCCCAATATGCTACTGATCAGTGGAGAAATAACTCCACAAAGAATGAAGGGATGAAGCCAAAGCAAAACCACCACCACTGGTGATGGAAGCAAGGTCCGATGCTGTAAAGAGCAACATTGCATAGGAACCTGGAGTGTTAAGTCCGTGAATCAAGGCAAATTGGAAGTGGTCAAACAGGAGATGGCAAGAGTGAACGTCGACATTTTAGGAATCAGCAAACTAAGATGGACTGGAATGGGTGATTTTAACTCAGATGGCCATTATATCTACTACTGTGGGCAAGAATCCCTTAGAAGAAATGGAGTAGCCATCATGGTCAACAAGAGTCCGAAATGCAGTACTTGGATGCAATCTCAAAAATGACAGAATGATCTCTGTTGGTTTCCAAGGCAAACCATAAACTCAGATGGCCATTATATCTACTACTGTGGGCAGGAATCCCTTAGAAGAAATGGAGTAGCCATCATGGTCAACAAGAGTCCGAAATGCAGTACTTGGATGCAATCTCAAAACTGACAGAATGATCTCTGTTGGTTTCCAAGGCAAACCATTTAATATCACGGTAATCCAAGTCTATGTCTCGAACAGTAATCCTGAAGAAGTTGAAGTTGAATGGTTTTATGAAGACCTACAAGACCTTTTAGAACTAACACCCAAAAAAGATGTCCTTTTCATTATAGGGGACTGGAATGCAAAGAGATTTATAGAAAAATTTTGCTTTGCTTCTAGTGAACTATAAAATAATTTTCCTCAGTAATAGATAAATGATGTCAAATTAATTTTTCTTCTCTTTAAACTCTTCTTAAACAGTATGCTATAGATAGATTGGTCAGAGTTTGGGTTTGTTCAAATAAATGAGAGGAAGGAGTAGAAGTGTTGATAAAGATTAATGGGCTAATGCTACTTAAGGAGACTAAACAGAAGCAATACTAATTTTTGTTGGTTGAAAAACTGGCAAGAATCAGAGGTTGTGACCTGCTAGGAGACAAGCATCCTTTCCTTCTCCTCTGATCTTTTAAAGTGCAATGCAGGTAGAAAATTCTGTGTAGAAGAACCATAGAGAAATACAGTAATACACACAAATTATTTGCTACTTTCCATTTCACAAATGTTTTCCTTTAACTCGGAAACACCTTGCAAGGTAAGGATTACTTCCATTTTTGCCAACAAGGAACCAACACTCACAAGTGAAAAATGATTGCTTGAGGTAACAGAGCCATTAATATTAGACCTGGGGCTCCAGACTGGTCTTCTGACTGCTGCAAATGCATTTCCTTCTCTTTTGTATTCCTTTCTTTATTTGTAAATCAATCCCCATTCCCGCCCCACCTCCAAAGCACGTTCACACAGAAAGCCTACCTCTCACTGTCCATCTCCCTGTCCATGTTTGCTTCAGCAGTGGATTTTCAATTGCACACTGATAAGATGAATTTGATCCTGTAATATTTACTCTGCTGTTTACATGAAAAGGACCGAAAGGATCATCTTCTTTCCTTTCTCTTTTGTCAGAGACAGTTGTATTATTATCTACTTTCCATTCGATATTTGGATAAGGAAAAACACTGAACACAGTGCATATTAAGAAGCTGTTGGTGGTTTTCTTTTCATACTCCATCACAGGAGTGACAAAATCTATGAGGGAGAAAGAAGGGCATGTGAGGACCTCTCATTAGCTTCTTTTTAGGCCACCTGTGCAGGACACTTATTATTTTAATACCTATGAACTGAAAAGCCAAGCTTTGGGAGTAAAACTTGGCAGTTTCTGAAAGGGAAAACAACAAAAACTGTGTAGGATCTTAGGATACAGTCTGGTGACTGACAAGAAAAAAAAAAGAGTATGAGTGGATACACAGCAACTAGCAAGCTCAACTCTCTAGAAAGAATTCTAGGAGAAAAAGGCCTCAGTGAGCATCCAAATGTGAGTCAGAGGTTGGTAAAGTGGAGCTCATGCAGCAGTCTGTACTCCTCGGGTACTGACTCTGAGGCTTTCTGGTTCTTCATTTGCCCGTAATTCTGAGATTTCTGGGTCCAGGTTTGCAGCAGCTCATAGAACGGAGAGAGAGAAGAAAGCCGATTAGAAAGCACCCCTCCCCCCAGCAAAGGAACGATTAGATAAGCAAAGCAAAGCAAGATAGGGGGAGGCAGAGAATATCAAAGTTAATTTAGAAAATAGGAAATGTAATTGAAATCAATAACTCAATATTTTTAAGCTGTCATTGGCAGAATTTCTTAAAACTGGTAATATTAGGTGCTGATATAAGACTTAAGGGGAAATGGATACTCTTATGCTCCTGCTATACGTGACATTAACATTTTACTTCTGACCCTTTTGTTTCAGACCATTTCCTGGTATTAAATATAAGGATGTTCATCACAACATTTTTTTGTAATGTAAAACACTATGAATACCTGAATGCCTATTAATGGAATAATGGGTGTATCAATTCTATACTCTAAAATACTATGCATTAAAAATAATGAGGTAGTTTGTATGCATTGTCTTAGAAGGAAGTCCACAGCTTATTAAATTAACAAGAAGGCATTCCAGGCAACATGGAATGATACCATTGTCATGTTTTGTTAAAGCTTACCTGTACACTTACCTACCACTTGTAGTACTACTTTCTTTGTGATTGTTCCAAGGGATGTTCCCACATGGCATATGTAAATTCCTTCATCATAAATGGTTAATCTTCTGAAACACAGGGAGGCATTCCCATTGTAAATCTCACCAGGGAAGAGGGATAGCCTGTTTACATATCTGGGATCTTGCGTTTCCAACTGGTCGCAGTCTTTGCAGTATGAGTAAATGTTGGTATCTTGATTCTTCCAGTGAATTACAACATCAGGCCCACTCTCAAATGAGCAAGGGAGAATTACGTCTTCACGTAGTCTTCCAGTGACGATTTGCTCATTCATACTAACATGGCTGAAGGAAGCTAAAAAGGATGCATATAAAAACAAGAGCAGTTATGAAGTGAATTAGTGATGGGTGCTTATCAAGGGTTATATCAGGGCTACCTAGAACTCTCCTAGGTCAGCAGCCTGATCATTAACAACTATCATCTATCTATCTATCAAGAACCTTTGCTAGTCCTAAGTATCAGAAACAAGCCAGGAAGCTCTGTATTTGGGTGTCTGCAATTTTAATCCAGTATCTGTTGGATTCAGTGTAACTATTAGAATTGACAACAGCGTAAAGCATAGAAACCTTGCTTGATGCTTGATCAATAGTCTCATTTCTCCTCTGATCTTGGCCTACACAGTTACTGGAAATTATATTATATAAATTAAAGATTCCTGTTGATTTTTATCCCTAAACATATACCCTTAATACTTACTATACAATAACAGATTATTAAATAGTTTATTCAGCTTCTAGAGCCAGCAGACTCTTACAGAATAGAAAACCCTTAACTTGGCTGGGTCAAGAAATGTCTGGAACATGTAGAAGACAGAGCTGCATCCAGGGGTCTGTTGGGAACACGCAGACATGAGTTTCAGGAAACGGCGCACATGGGACTCTAAAAGGGGACAGGAACTGACTCGCTTATTTTGGCTTTAGGACAACTCACAGGGTGTCCTATGAGTTGGTTCAAATATAGTTAAGAAATATTATTCTAGATATAAATGTAGAAGACCAACCCTCCCAATACATATAAGTTTACATATGTGTTTGAAGTAAAGTGAAAGTGTTAAGTCACTCAGTCATGTCTGACTCTGCAACCCCATGGACTGTGTAGCCTGCCAGGATCCTCTGTCCATGGATTTCTCCAGGCAAGAATACTGGATGGGTAACCATTCCCTTCTCCAGGGGATCTTCCCAACCCAGGGATCGAACCTGGGTCTCCTGCACTGCAGGCAGATTCTTTACCAGGGAAGCCCATATGTAGTCAACCTCAGAAGGTGATCTTAAAAAGGAAATGGACTCATCACAATCAGATTTTTGCAAAGAAAATATACTTATTATCTCATAATCACTGCAGCTAGTATCCAGTTTTTCTGAACAAAAAGAAAAGTAGATCAGGTGCCCTATCTATGAATTTTGTGATATTTGCACTGGAAAGGACATTGTTTTACTTATAATGAAGTAAACTCCACTGAACTTGGCCAAAGCTGCCTGAGATGGGAGAACTGGGTGTTTATGTGGCCAGGCCACAAAGTCTTTTTCCTTGGCTGCCTCCTCTGAGGCTCTTTCCATTCTGCCATGTCCCACTTGGCCTCAGAGAAACAGTCTATCCAAAGGCTAGAGGAATGTGGCATTAAGCTGAGAGATGTGGAAAGGTGGGAAAGAAAAGGAGTCGTTTTGTTGACTTCCCTAATTGTTCTACTGAACATCTCTAATATTTTATTGGGTAATTAAAAATGCCTGTCACAGGACCTAGCAAAGCTGATAGCACCTTTTGTCGCATCAAGTACCAAGCTAACACTTAAAAAAAAAAAATCAACCAACCAATCAAATTTTCCTTTATAGTGATTTTATATCTGGTAGCAGATAACAGATTAGAAAGAGCCTTAATCAGAGTAGACAGAAGAAAACACGATTTTTAGCCTTCATGCAGACTTCCGTCTGCCTCCTATTTATTATTAACTGATCTTTTAGAAAAGCTGACAATGTCACGGCTACAGAAGAGACAGCCCCCTTGAACTGTGGCTCGGGTTTCTGTCTAATGATACAAATAACGGACGCCTGGGTACAGCGTGAAGGCACTTACCTTGAGACCCACACAGAGCTGGTACAAGAGTGAGGAAGGAACACAGCACTGCCTCTGCCTTCATCTCTTCTGGAGATCATATCACTGACGCTATCAAAGAGAAGCAAAACATGCAAGTTACAGACTTTAAGTGCAGACAGGAATGGGAAAAGAAAGAATTAATGTCTCTGCCTATAGGAGAATCATTAAATTAACTCTGGTGCATTCACACAAATAATTCTCCTACAACCATTAAACCTTTAAAATTAAATACTGTAAAAGACAGTTCAGTGGTATGGAAAGAAGCTCTTAATGTTTTAGGAGGAAAATCAGATTACAAGGCAACTTTTAAGTAGCATCAGTTCAGTTCAGTCGCTCAGTCGTGTCTGACTCTTTGCGACCCCATGAATCGCAGCACGCCAGGCCTCCCTGTCCATCACAAACTCCAGGAATTTGCTCAAACTCATGCCCATCAAGTCAGTGATGCCATCCAGCCATCTCATCCTCTGTCGTCCCCTTCTCCTCCTGCCCCCAATCCCTCCCAGCATCAGAGCCTTTGCCTGAGTAGCATAGTCCCCTTTTAAAAGCACACACATTTCTGCATGTAGGAGGTCAACAGGACATATCACTGAATGTATAGCAGGATGTTAACTCTGAAGAAGAGGTTTCACATCTAAGGCAGTACCTGCTATATAACAGATTCTGAAAAATGGCTGTTGAATGAATAAAGATTTAGTATACATTAAATGGTGGTTTTCTGGATATTTGAAGAATAAAAACTGTATGATCATCTCAATAAATGCAGAAACAGTTTTTGACAAAATTCAGAATCCATTTATGATAAAAACTCTCCAGAAAGTGGGCATAAAGGGAATAACCACAACATAATAAAGTACATAGATGGCAAACTCACAGTTAAAATCATACTCAGTGGTGAAAAGCTGGAAGCCTTTCCTTTAAGATCATGATGCCCACTCTGGCCACTTTTATTCAAGATACTATTGGAAATTCTAGCCACATCAATCAGACAAGACAAAGAAATAGAATTGACATCAGAAAGGAAGAAGTAAAACTGTCACTATTTGCTGATTACCTGATATATACATAGAAATCATAAAGAGGCAACCAGAAAACTACTAGAGGTTGATATAAAATTAATATTCAGAAGTCTGTTGCATTTCTATACAAAAATAGTGAGCTATCAGAAAGAAATTAAGGGAGGGAACTAAGACGGCGGAGGAATAGGACGGGGAGACCACTTTCTCCCCCACAAATTCATGGAAAGAACAACTGAACGCTGAGCAAACTGCACAAAACAACTTCTGATGGCTAGCAGAGGACACCAGGTGCCCAAAAAGCAGCCCATCGTCTTTGAAAAGGGGGTAGGACGAAATATAAAAGATAAAAAGAGAGACAAAGGAGCTAGGGACGGAGTCCCGTCCCGGGAAGGGAGTCGTGATAAAGGAAGTTTCCAAACACCAGGAAACCCTCTCACTGGCGGGCCTGGGGGAAGTTTTCGAATCTCAGAGGGCAATGTAACTGGGAGGAAAAATAAATAAAACCCGCAGATTACATGCCTAAAAGCAACTCCCAGCAGAAAAGTACCCCAGACGCCCGCATCCGCCACCAGCAAGTGAGGGCGGAACGGAGAGGAGCCGGCGGCATTGCTCAGGGTCAGGACCGGGCCTGAGTGCCCTGAGGGCAATCGGAGGGAGCTTTAGTGAGACAGCAACTTAAACTGTAGGATAGCAAGATAAAGGGAGAAAATTAACTGGCCCAAACACACTGCGGGCCAGTTTTCATAACAAAGGGTCTGAGCGATCCCAGAGAAGACCTAGCTGGCGGCAGACCAACCCATCCCCGCCGGAGGCAGGAGGCAGGGAGGAGGGGAAAGGGGCAAACTCGGCCTCAGAGACAGCACCCCTACCAAACGGCAAACACGCCTCCAGTTTCTAACCAAAGACTTCCTGAGATTCTGGATGGTCGACATCCGCCGGGAGGGTCGCAGCTAGAGGGCAGCTTCCAAGAATAGACACAGGGCGCACCGGACTGGTGCACAGAAACCCAGGCTGGGCCCGCGGAGGGGAGAAGGCGCACCGCACCCAGGGAGAAGGCACGCCGCACCCGGGGAAAGTGCGCCCGTCAAGCTCCTGGCGGCCTGAGCCGCTCGGGCAGGGAAGGCGTGAAACGCAGGCCCAACCGAGTCCGCGCTTTTGTGGAGGACCCAAAAACCTGAATCTGAGCAGCTTAGGCCTGGGAAGTCCACACAACGCAGGGCCCGCTCCCTGTAGGCAGCCTGGAGCCTGAGCACTGTGGATGGGGAAAGCACACGCCGCGAGTGTGGGCAAACCCAGTGTGGCCGGAACACTGCGGGTCCTCCCCACACAGGCCAGTGGTATTTGTCTGCAGCGCCCCCCTCCCCGCAGCACGACTGAACAAGCGAACCTAAACAAGAGACCACTTCCGCCCNCAATGGAGAAAAGACAGACTCTTTAATAAGCGGTGTTGAGAAAACTAGACAGCCACTTGTGAAAGAATGAAATTAGAACATTCTCTAAAGTCATACATAAAAATAAACTCAAAATGGATTAAAGATTTAAATATAAGACCAGAAATCATAAGACTGACAGAAGAAAACATAGGTAGAACACTCTGACATAAATCATAGCAATATTTTTTAGATATGTCTCCTAAAGCAAAGGAAATAAATGCAAAAATGAACATATGGGACCTAATTAAACTTAAAAACTTTTGCACAGCAAAGGAAACTATTGACAAAATGAAAACACTTATCAAATAGGAGAAAACATTTGCAAGTGATATGACTGATAAGTGATTAATATACAAAATATATTACAACTCATACAACTCAACATCAAAAAACAAAACTCAATTAAAAAATGGGCAGAACTGAATAGACATTTTTCCAAAGAGGAAATGTAGATGGCAAAAAGGCACATGAAAAGATGCTCATCATTGCTAATCATCAGGGACATGCAAATCAAAGCCACAATGAGCTAGCACCTCACACCTGTCAGAATTGCTATCATCAAAAAGAACACAAATAACAAATGTAGATGAGAATGTGGCAAAAAGGGAACCTTCCTACATTGTTGGGAATGTAGATTGGTGCAGCCACTGTGAAAACTGTATGGAGATTTCTCAAAAATCTAAAAATAAAACTACCATGAAAAGTGAAAGTGAAAGTCATTCAGTTGTGTCCGACTCTTTGCAACCCCATGGGCTGTACAGTCCATGGAATTCTCTAGGCTAGAATACTGGAATGGGTACCCTTCCCCTTCTCCAGGGGATCTCCCCAACCCAGGGATCGAACCCAGGTCTCCCACATTGCAGATGGGTGCTTTGCCAGCTGAGCCACCAGGGGAGCCAAAACTACCATGTGACCCATTAATTCACACCTGGGTATATATTTGAAAAAAGCAAAAACACTAATTTGAAAAGATGCATGTAGCCCAATGTTCATTCAGGCGCTATTTATAATTAGCAAGCTATGGGAGCAACCTGTGTGGCTGTCAACAGATGAATGGATAAAAAAAGATGGGGTTTGTGTGTGTATTTCATTGTACACAATGAAAACTACTCAGCCATAAAAAAAGGATGAATTGGCATATGGTTAGACTTGGACGGTATTATGCTAAGTGGAATAAATCATATGAAGACAGATAAATACCATATGATATAACTTACATGTGGAATCTTAAACTACTGAGTATAATAAAAAAAGAAACAGACTCACAGAAATAGAGAACAAATTAGTGGTTACCACTAGAGAGATGGAAGGGGAGAAGAAAAAGATGGGGATAGGGGATTAAGAGGTAAAAACTAGTATGAATAAAATAAATAAGCTTCAGGAATATATTTTACAACACAGGGAAATGAGCCAATATTTCATAACAACTATAAATGGAACATAACCTTTAAAAATTGTTAATCACTGAGTTGTACACCTGAAACTTATGTACCATTGTACCTAAACTGTAACTCAATTTAAAATAAAAGAATTTTTTAAAAGATAACAAATAATAAGTGTTGGCAAAGATGTAAAAAAACAGTGAACCCTCATGCACTGTTGGTGGGAATGGAAACTGGTGTAGCCACTATGAGAATCAGTATGAAGACTCTTTGAAAAATTAAGGATACTACCACATGATCCAGCAATTCCACTGCTGGGTATTTACTGAAAAAAAATGAAAACACCAATTAGAAAAGATACATGGACCCATATGTTGATTGCAACATTATTTACAATAGCCAGTATACAAGAACCTAAGTGCCCCTCAATAGATAAATGGATAAAGAAGCTATGATATACATATATAATGGAATATTATTTAGTCATAAAAAGGATGAAACCTTGCCATTTGCGGCAATATGGATGTAACCAGAGGGTATTAAAGTAATAGAAATAAATCTGACAGATATTAAAATATTGTATAATTTCTCACATATGTGGAATCACACCAAAAAAAAAAGGTGAACCAAATGAACAAGGTATAGACACAGGGAACAAACAGGCTGTTGCCACAGGGGAAGGGAGTAGGGGGAAGGAAAGATGAACATGAGGGATTTTAAAAGGCGCAGAATTCCTGAGACCTCTCTGGTGGCCCAGTGGCTAAGACTCTATGCTCTCAACATAGGGGGCCTGGGTTCGGTCCCTGATCAGGGAACTAAATCCCACATGTCACAACTAAAAGTTTGCATGCCATAACTAGATTCCTTATGCCATTTCTTCTTATAGATGTCTTTGATTGTATAATGTATGAAGAGATATATATCACAAGGCTTATCTCTTTAATAGTAAGATTAAAAAGAAAGTGAAGTGAAGTTGCTCAGTTGTGTCCGACTCTTTGCGACCCCATGGACTTCCCCACCAGACTCTTCCATCCATGGAATTTTCCAGGCAAGAGTACTGAAGTGGGTTGCCATTTCCTTCTCCAGGGGATCTCCCTGACCCAGGGACTGAACCCCGATCTCCCACATTGCAGGCAGACACTTTACCATTTGAGCCACCAGGGAAGCCCAGTAAGATTAAAAGTAATCATTGAATTCATTTTCTACCATGAATAATGTAAATATGTAATGATGCATTT